TGAGGAAATCGTGCATGACCTGGATACCTGCGAGGTCACAGTGGAGGGGGAGGAGCTGAACCCCGAGCAGGAGAGCCTGGAGGTGGACGTGGCCCGGCTCCAGCAGAAGGGCATTGAAGTGAGCCGCTCGGGCCTGGGTGTGGTCTTCACAGGTGAGACGCTGGTGTGGGCCAGAGTCCAGGAGCAGATGGTAGAGGCTGCTGACCACTCGCCCCTTCGGGACAGGGAGGGGAATTAGGTACTGCTCTTTTAGGGTGGGGCTGAGGCACAGGGTGGTGCATTCCCTAGGCAGAGAAATGCCCCGACGGGCTTTACCTTTTTCCCCCACTCAGCCACAAATGTGCTCCTACCATGGCTGATCAAGATGTCAGACTTCGGCTGTCTGGGCCTTTGGGTCTATAAATATAAGCTACTCGGCACGGTTCTCCCTTCTGCCCCATAGGTGTGGACACCATGGCCAGCTATGAGGAGCTCCTGCACCTCCTGCGCTATCGGAACTGGCATACCCGGTCCCTGCTTGACCGGAAGTTCAGGCTCATTTGCTCTGAGCTAAATGGCCGCTACCTCAGCAATGAGTTTAAGGTGGAGGTGAGTGCAGGGATCTCAGCGGGAGTCGGCACTGAATGTGCTATGCTAGGCCCCGTGTTTGCTAACTCCAGGTTTTTAATTGTTGTTTGCTGGTACTCAGGGCCTTGTACTCTTGCTCAGCCTTTTTGCTCATTGTGCTCTACCACTTGAGTCACACCTCCAGCCCAGCTTTTTTGCTGGTTAATTGGAGATGGAATCTCAAAGACTTTCCTGCCCAGGCTGACTTCAAGCCAAGATCCTCTGATCTCTTGAGGCCTCCTGAGTGGCTAGATTATTAATGTCAGGTTTTAGTGTGTTTGCAGTGGCTCTGCTACAGTTCAGGCCTGTGTTGCTGGCTTCAAGTGGTGGTTTCTTGGGATTTCACGTGAAAGAAAGACATGGGGGCACCATTCTAGAAAGAACCTCCTCCAGGGAGCCAAGGGGTGTTAGCCTTGTTGAGAGTCGAAGCAGGTCCCTGGCGGGGTGAGGTGCTGATGCAGGCTCTGGCAGCGGGCTGGTCTGATCCTCCAAGGCTGCCATTCACTCTGGCTGCTCTGTCACCAGACTCTACCACAGTGTCTCCCTTGCTCACACCTCTGTGGTTTGGTGATTAGACTCAAAAGTTGTTCTTAGTGATGGACCATCTCTACTGTGACCTCAGTGGCAGCAAGGCTGAGTTCCCAAGGCTGATGAGCATTTTATTTGAGCCAAGGGGTGGTGGGTTCAGAAGGCAACAGGTAGTTGTGATTTGCTGTCTCTCATGTGGCCTGGCCTTTAGGATAAAGGAAGAAGATGCTCTACTCGCAGAGCTTCTTCAGACTCCCAGCATAGGACCTGCTTTGCTCCCTGTGCTGTATGCAGTCGCTGGATAAGACATGCCGGCCGCGCATGCGTAGGACAGCGACGGCCTCTCGGGGGTGTCATGCGTCTCAGTATGACAGTGGTTTCTTTTTTTTCTTCCCTTTTTTTTGAACGGTCATGGGGCTTGAACTCTGGGCTTGGGCACTGTCCCTGCGCCCTTCGGCTCAAGGCGAGAACTCTGCCACTTCCGGTTTTCGAGTGGTTTATTGGAGATAAGAGTCTCATGACGGACTCTCCTGGACTCTCCTGCCCGGGCTGGCTTTAAACCGAGATCCTCAGATCTCAGCCTCCTGAGTAGCTAGGATTACAGGCGTGAGCCACTGGCGCCCAGCTTTGACAGTGGTTTCTCAGCGCAGTTGTGTGGCTTGAATTCTGGGCCTCATGCTTGCTAGGCAAGCATTCTACCACTTGAGCCACACCTCCAGCCCTTATGCCTAATTTTGACCTTGGGTTCCACATTTCTGTCCAGGCTAGCCTAGATCCCTGTCCTATTGCCTCTTCTTGTGTGACTTGGCTGGCAGGCATGAGCTAGTGCCCTGGCCTCCGGTGCTTCACCCCCCACCCCCGTTGTTGTTGTTTTCTGGTCACAGATGGTAGTTTGTCTGTTCCCATCATGGTCCAGGGATCATGCAGCGCAGCTTGCCAGCTGCTGACTCAGCTGGGACACACTGGGGGGCGATGCTGGTCTCATCAGCAGTGACTCCCTTTCTCTCCACCTCAGGTGAATGTGATCCACACGGCCAACCCTATGGAACACGCCAACCACATGGCTGCACAGCCGCAGTTCGTTCACCCTGAACATCGCTCCTTCGTGGACCTGTCAGGCCACAACCTGGCTAATCCTCACCCGTTTGCAGGTAGGATAGTAGGGGAAGCTCTAGGAGCCCAAACACTGGCATCCACAGAGCGTCCAGGCAGACGCCTCATATCTGTGTCCTTGTTACTGTCACACAAGGACACAGAGCTCACCCGTAGCCACAGAGCACATGTGAGAGTTGGGCCTTCTCTTGTGTTCCGTCTAGACTCTGAAGGTCGGGCGAGGCATTCCCCCCGCGCATTCGACTTACCCCAGCTGCCAGGGTTGCTTCACCTTCCGATCTCTTCACAGTTGTCCCCAGTACGGCCACGGTGGTGATTGTGGTGTGTGTCAGCTTCCTGGTTTTCATGATTATCCTGGGAGTGTTTCGGATCCGGGCCGCACATCAGCGCACCATGCGGGACCAGGACACGGGGAAGGAGAACGAGATGGACTGGGACGACTCCGCCTTGACTATAACTGTGAACCCCATGGAGGTAGGAGCGGACGGGCTGACGGCGAGGCCTAGCCACGGCCCCTTTTTTTTTTTTTTTTGGTCCGGTCGTGGGGCCTGAACTCTGGGCCTGGGCGCTGTCCCTCAGCTCTTCAGCTCAAGGCTAGCGCTCTACCACTTGAGCCACAGCGCCTCTTCCGGCTTTTTTTCTTTTTGCTTATGTGGTGCTGAGGAATCGAACCCAGGGCCTCATGCATGCAAGGCAAGCGCTCTACCACTGAGCCACCTTCCCAGCCCGCCACGGCCCCTTTTTGTCCATGTGCCCGTGCCACATAGTCTGAGTGGCAGCTCTGCAAGGTTAGGGGTACCCCTTTTCACATGCGTGGCCCAAGACTCGGCGGCCTGTAACAGGCCTCGCGGCCTGGTAAGCGCACAGACACGCTCACACTGGGCTCATGGCTCACTGCTGCTCTATCCGCTGAAACAGTTCCTAGCAGGGAGCAGGGTACCGTCCCAGTGGAAGCGCTCCCCTGAAGCACAGCCCCCCCCCCCCCCAGCCTGTTTCACTGGAGAGTCCCTGGGGGCATTTCCCTTCCCTCATGGCGAGGAAGCCATGAGCTGGACTTAACAGTGCTGTTTGCTCGCCAGACATACGAGGACCAGCACAGCAGTGAGGAGGAAGAAGAGGAAGAGGAAGAGGAAGAGAGTGAGGACGGTGAGGAGGAAGAGGATATCACCAGTGCTGAGTCGGAGAGCAGCGAGGAGGAGGAGGGTGGCCCGGGAGATGGCCAGAACGCCACTCGGCAGCAGCAGCTGGAATGGGACGACTCCACGCTCAGCTACTAGTGCCGCGCCGGCCCCTGCTCTCTGCTTCCGCCGTCCTCCCTTCTCCAGACTCCGCCAGCCGCCCCCAGCCCAGCGGGTCCACGGTGTACAAAGTTACTTCGGCCAGCAGGTCTGCAGACCCTCCCCCTCGCTCGTCGTCCGCGTGCTTGGTGTGTAGGACCTTAGGCTACTGCCCTCTGCCTGCCCTCCGCCCAGTCACTCCGCCAGCTCTGCCAGAGCTGGAGCCTCCTCCCTGGCCGCACCTCGCTGCCACGGGGCCCCCGCAATGCAGCAGCCCCGCGTGTGGCCAGAGCCCCCCGTGTGCTGGCACCAAGCCACCGGCCCCTTCACCTCCAAGAAGCAGCAGTGACTTGGTGACAGGGTTAGACGTGCTCGCTCTCACCAGGTACCATCTGTTCTGTTCTTTTTTTTTTTTTTAAGAAAATTTTTATTTTTTCCAAACTAGTGCATGTACAAAATGGCAGAATGGGGGTTAATATGTAGATGACCAACTGACTTTTTAATATTTTGTAAATAAATAGGGATTCTATGTGTCCTTCGTGCTAGTGTAGTCCAGTATGTAGCGCTCAGAAAGCCAGGCGCAGGGGTCCCAGGGTCCCAGTCCCGCGCCAGGCCAGGCTGGAGAGGCCTGCCCACCGCCCCTCGCCCAGGCTCCTTGTGTGGTCAGGGTCACAGGCTTGGGGTGCTGCTCAGGGGACTGGGGTCCCTCTTTGGAAGCTGGAGGTGGCCAGGGCCTTGGAATTCTACCTGTTCCTGGCTTGGTGTTGGGGGAGAGAGTGGCGTAGATCCTTGGCTTGTTACACACGCCTCCCTTGCCCGGCGCCCTCTGCGTAGTAGCGTGGACTTGGTGTGCACAGCTGGTAGACGATGCTTTCCCTGCTGGCGCAGGTGTGCGTAGAGCTCACAGAGCACCGCACGTGCACACGCGCTCCCTGGTCTGTTGGGAGTCAGAGCTGGCCTGAGAGATGTGTGTTCTTCCAAAAGCGAGAGCCCGAGGCCTGAAGGTGGAGTGCTAGGCTCCCACACGGCCCCGCCTGTTCTCCTCCCCAGGCTGTATGGGACGCCCTGCCACCCATCCGAGCGGGAGCCAGGAGCCCTGCTTTGGGCTCAGTAGTAAGGTAAAAAGAGAGAAAGCAGTCAGATGTAAACCCATGCGCGCCTCGCACCGCCACAAGCGGGAGTCATTGTTGCACACCATCTGGGCCCCTCGTGGCTAGTTTTGAGGACGCGGACAGCTGTGCTGTGTTGTGTGTGGCTGCCCTTCTGTGTCCTGTCCTTGTAGCTGCTGTAGACGATGGAAAGATGCTGACGCAGAGGGGTGCTCCTGTGTCCCCTTCCACATGTGTGTATTGATGCTAGGTGGGAAGTGTATACACCACAATAAAACTTCGGTTCTAACTCCAGCCTCACCGGCTGCTTTCTGTCTTGCTTCTATTTTAACCCTGTGTTCCCTTGTTGCTGGTGGAGCCAAGAACATAAGAACATAAAAGACTTTTATTTTTCACCTGCTTTACCACATTCGAGGTTTTACAGGCCCATTTCAGCCCACAGCATCGATACAGAACTTGCCTTCCCCATACAGAAACATGACATGACATGACTTAAAAAAATAGAAAATATTCTTCTCACCAGGCGCACAGACTGCACACCCAACCCAGAAATGCCAGGGGTGTGCAGAATCTGCAGGCCGCATCAGGGAGCACCCAAACTTGAATAAATAACACGTACACGTACACGAGGCTTTTCCTGTCTCAAAGCAAGTGAGGTGTTCTGGGGAGATGCAGCACTGAGTTGTGGATCCAAGTATGGCCGCTGTGGACAAAGCAGGTACTCTGCAGTGATACCTGCTGGTACTCTGCTGGATCCCTGGCTCATCAAAATGGAGCTGGCCCTGGGCTCAAGCTGTGCGCCTGCGCCAAAGGGCAGGTGCTGAGCCCAGCAGTAAGCCAGCAGGTCCTGAGTCAGCTGCCAGTGCACCAGGAGCCCCACCGACCCATGTGTTTTGTCGGTAGTAGCACTGGGATGGAACCCAAGGCCTCGTGCCTGTTAAGCATGCTTTGGACTGGTGAACTGTGTTCTCAGCCCACTCTGGGCTTTTTGGATCCTAGGTTCAGGGCCTGTCAACAAGAGTGCATTTTGGAAGATTGAGAAGCCCAGCATCTGACCTTGTAAGGTAGCTGTGATCCAGCCCTTTGGGAAGCCCAAAGCTAGCCCTAAGCTGTGTTGAACTGAGCACTTTGAGCGGAAATGATTCCACTCACCCTCAGGCCACCCTCCTGCTATCTGATGACGCCCAGCAAGGCCTCCGGTGCAGTCTGCGGTGGCTCACTTCTCAGTGCTCTGACTGGGGACACAGGACAGTGTCCCTGCCCTGCACAAGCATGCCTTTCTATTTATGGCTGTTTGTTCCTTAAAGGTTCTCAAAAGGTTGTAAATAGTGTAGAGAGATCCGGTTCTGTCCAGCCCCTCACTAAAGCCTGCCCGAGAGGCCATTGCCCAGCAGCGATCGCACAAAGGACTCCACTGTGGCTTCCATTCACTTTGGTTTGTGACCAGGTAAGCGAAATCCACCTCCAGGCTTGTTGGAAGGGCTGGCATGTATTATTACACTTGGTGGGAGCTTCATTGTCCCCGGCTGCAGAGGTTCCGCGAGAAGTTTGGCTGTTTCCTTACCCGCAAATAAAGAAGAGGGGGGCATCCCCATATCCGAGAATCATGTCATTTCTGCTGTGAAGAGCAGGTGTCCCTGAGTCTAGAGGGCACCCCGCTTCCTTGGGAGCTGCTTGGTCAGTGGGGGACACTGAGTGGGCCACACAAAGGTGACTGCAGATGCGGTGTCCTGTCGGGATGGGAGGTACCGTGCGAGCGCCCAGGTCCAGGCTGTCCGCTGGGAGCCTGGGAAGGCTTCTCCCAGGAAGAGCGATCATGGCCAGGCTAAGATCTGGAAGACATGGGGTGACCGTCCTCATCTGAGAGGAAGGTACATCTTGAAGCGCCCAACTCACTGCCCCGCTTGAAGGTGGAGGCAGTGCCCCTTCCCTGCACAGGGTGCGTGTCCGTTTATGGCTGTTTGTTCCTTAAACATTTGGAGTCAAATAAATAACCAGTGTAAACAAAAGGCAGTTGTGAGGTTCTTTCCTATGAGGTGCAATTCGGGCTTTTAGGCCCCTTTTAGATGACTGGGGTTCCTCTCTCAAGTCCAGAGCTAGAGAGGCCCAGCGTGCGGCGGCCGGGATGGGGCCGCTATTGCCTGTTATCTTTGGACACGTTGTGCGCCATCCAGTTCACTTTGGTCTTCCAGCTCTCCCGCAGCGCTTCGTTGAACTTCACCCGGAAGTGCTTCAGTGCCTCTTCTTCCGTTTTCCCCAGGGCCAGAGAGTCCTGAGAGGAGTCATCCCAGCGTCAGTGTCCCCACCTGACTCACAGCCCATCTGCCCGCCTGCTTTTCCCCTAGGGGATGGGGGATTGGCTGAAGGGAGAGGGGAGGGCTCCCAGCTGACTCATCTCTGCACTGCCCTGGCTGAGTGATGTCATAGGGTCTTGTCCTGACTTTTGGGGGGGGGGGGACAGAAGGGGGAGGGGGGGCTTGGCCCATCCCAGCACTCAAAAACTCAGACCTAGCTAGAAAGGAGCCATCTTGCCAATGGAAACTTAGCCATGCCGCCCTGTGTACACCCAAAGGCATGCTGACCAAGGAAGGTCACAAGGCGGCTCATCTAACTGCAGCTCTCGGTCCAGCTCGCTTGACGGCGCTGGCACTGAGCAGACTCTGCTGCTGGAACGTGGAACGGCACGAGGACCCCGCTAGCAGGAATACCCGCTGGGATCCTCTAGTCTCCAGAGGGCTCAGGCGTGGGGAGCCCTGCATGGCTGTCCCTGTTCTCTTGCCAGTCTGGTGCAGCCCTGCCCGGCCCACCTTGAGATACTGGATGTCTTTGGAGCAGCTGAGCTCAGGCAGGCCTGCCGCCCGCATCAGAGCGAAGAGGTGGAGGAAGAGGAGCCCGTGGCGCCGCAGGATGGTGTAGGCTTTTTCACAGTAGCCCCGGAACCTGCGGTGGTGGAGGCAGCCCGCTGAGGTGAGGCCTTGCCTCCTCCCTGCTGCTCCGGCCCTGGGCTGGCACCCTGCCATGCAGCTGTCCTAACCCTGGTGCGCAGAGCCCTTGGCTCCTCCCGCTAAGCCCAGCTTGCTCCCCGCATGGCCCGGGGGCCACCCTTGGCCCCAAGAGGGCATCCAGGGCGGAGGTTCCTCTGAGAACAAGAGGGTACCCAGCGACCCACCAGTAATGAAGAGCCAGGGCCCGGCGTGGAACTGAGGCTGCGACCTGTTACTGTCCTTTGCCCAGAAGCCTCTGTGCCCTCCCCCCGGGGGCCCCGGCCACCCTCACCTTTCAAATTTCTCACTGTTGTTCGTTCTCCCCTGCTGAATCACGTGGACAAAGTCATAGGTGAGGATGAACGGCACTCGCTCGCGGTTGATTCCAAACTTGGTCTTGAAATTCCCCAGAAAGTGGCCAAAATCTATGTGGAACAACTGAGGGGAAGCAAGAGAAAGGCACTGGAGCGGCATGGGGGGAGGGGGAGGGGGGAGAGGAGGGGGAGAGGAGGGAATGGCGGAGCAAGGACAGTGCCTCTGTCCAGATAGTCCCCGGGGAGAAAGGGAGCCGGCCGCGCTCAGGGACGCCTCCCGGAAGCTGTGTGTCCTGACCCGGAACAGGCTATGGGGCCGGAGGACAGGCCCGCAGGGCAGCTGCCCGCTCCGCCCTTACCTGCCCGCTCTCTCGGATCATGATGTTGTCACTGTGCCGGTCACCGATGCCCAACACGTAGGTGGCCACGCAGTAGCCAGCACAGGAGAGGGTGAACTCCTCGATGGCTCGATCCAGGGCCTCCCTGTGAGAAGATGGAAAGCTGTGGCCACCCCATTGTGCAGCCCTGTCAGAGGAGTCTTTCTCCCCCTTGTGATGCTTTTAATCAGTAGCACGTGGTGGGCACTATGCCCGAGCTTTGAGCCTAGGGATAGCTTGCAGATCTTGAAGCACCACCCCCCCTCTGGACCCTGCCCATGGCCACCATGTAGAGAAACTGAGGCTCGTGTACTCAATGGAAAGAGGCCACATAGGCAAAGCTGACAGGCATCTGACTGGTGCCATCTTAGACCTCCAGGCTCAGGCAAAGTCCTGGGTGATAGCAGTTGTGTGACGCCGTTCCTGGCAAGGCCAGCAGAACCGATCAGCTGAGCTCAGTGGGAAGCGGTGGTTGTTGTAAGGCCCTAAGCTTTGAATAGAATTGCACAGCCATCACTAACTGACCTGCCCCAACCCAGATAGGTTAGATCCTGCTTCAGCCTAGTAGCATGGAGATATAGAAGGCCAGCCCTTCCCACAGCGCACCTCTCAGGAAAGACAGACCTACCCAGGGTTCTTGGACTTGAGCCAGTTGAGCAGGGCATCCTTGTTGAAGGCAGCCGTGGCTGCCATATTGCTTTTGTTCAGCTGGATGTTGGCTATGGTGTCCGAGTGGAGCACTACCTCGATGAGGCCAGTGCGGTCGCCGGTGGGGAGGCAGCCATAGGGAGTCATCCTACACGAGTGGGGGGTGGGGAGAGCGCCAAGGCCATGAGCTCTCCATGGGCTCCTGCACCCCAGTGTGTGAGGCATACACAGAAAAATAATCAGTGCTGGACGCCAGTGCTCATGCCTGAAATCCTAGCTGCTCTGAGGACTGGCTCAAAGCCAGCCCGGTCAGGAAAGTCCATGAAATTGTTATCTCCAGTTAACCACCAGAAAACCGGAAGTGGCGCTGTGGCTCAAGTGGTAGAGCACTGGCCTTGATTGAGCTGAAGAACTCAGGGACAGGCCCAAAGTTTGAGCCCCAAAACTGACAATAATAATAATAATAAACAGGAAAGCTGGGCACTGGTGGCTCATGCCTGTAATCCCAACTACTCGGGAGGCTGAAGTCTAAGGATCATGGTTTAAAGCCAACCCAGGCAAGAAAGAATTAACTATTAAAAGGCCGGAGCTATGGCTCAAAGCTCAGGGACAGTGCCCAAGCCCTGAGTTCTAGCCCCAGGACGGGCATGCATGCACACACACATGCACACACATGCACACACACACACACACACACACACACACACACACGAATAAATCACAGAGGGCACTGCTGCTCAAGCTGCTGAGGAGAGGAAAAGCACCAGGCTCCTTACTTCTGAGAGGCATCAGAACCTGCACCCAACATACACAACTCGTCCCAGCTGAGCCTGTGTTGGGGCTGAAGCTAGGGGGCTTGGAAGAAGAGGCTGCTGCCTCCCAAAGCAGTGGGGGAAGCTGGGCAACACAGGGAGGGAGGGAGGGAAGGAGGGAGGGAGGGGGGAGGGAGACTGCCACTCAGAAGCAGGAATGCCTCTGCCGCGCGCGCCGGGTGGCGACCGCCACCGCAGCCTCGCCGCAGCCTCCACCGCCTCTGGCTGCCCTCCCAGACTCCCCTCTCCCAGCCAATGCCACGTGCCAACTCTGACCAGCTGCAGGGTGCCTACCTCAGGTCCAGGCCCTCCTGCTTCCACAGGACATCCATGAGCTGGATCATCTGCAGGGTCAGCATGTCCTGGCGGAGGTCTGCAGAGGCCAAAAGAGGAAGAACAGGAGTTTCTGGTAGGTTCTCCACTCCTGCGGTGCCTAGGCTCGAGTTCAGCTCCTTCCCCAGGGCCCCCAAGGGACAGGACAGGACAGAGGAAGGAGATGGGCTTGCCAAGATCTCAGCCGGTCTCTGTCTCCTGACCCATCTGACTCACCATCCCCATTCTTAAAGATGATGCCCACGTTGCCCGCGCTGCCCGCCTCCTCGTTGCTGTACATGATCCACAGGGGCTTCATCTTGGAGTCCATGAAGGTGCACTGCTCCACACTGCGGCCAGACAGGGGACAGTTGGCAGGGGCTCACCCACAGGTCCCAGAGGCCCAGGTAGGGGGCCTTCTCCGTGGGAAGAGAGGGGCCTGGGGCTTACCAGACTTCCTCCAGCAGGGTGCTGGGGTCCAGCGGGGACTGCAGGTGGGAGAGGGCCTCCATGTAGGCGTCCTGGCGCATGCACAGGTGCATCAGTTCCTTGGTCTGGGGCTTGGTGGTCTTCTGCGAGCTCACCTTCACAAAGTCATTAAGCGCCTTCAGCTTGCTCAGTGCTTCCCCCTAGTGGGGACAGTGGAAGACAGCCTGAGCAGGTGGTTCTAGAGAGTGGAGCCCGCTGGGGCTGGGAGAGCGGAAGCCTCACCTGTTTCATCAGCACCTTCATGTGGTGGGTGCAGCCCCTGCAGTAGGCCTCCATGATGAGGCCGAAGCGCAGGGCCACCGATGGCACGTGCATCTCAGAGCTGGAGGGAAGGGAAATGGCTGAGTCTCCCCAGGCAGAGCCACGCAGCCCCTCCCCAGCCCAGAGGAGACCCGGGGTGGGGTGGGAGGAGTCCTGGACGCCCAGGCTCAGGCCTGCTGGACACACAAGGTCCACAGGGCCTTCCTGGGAGGGTCCCAAGGAGCCAGCCAGAGTCTGTCCAGCTACCGAAGGTGCCAGAAGAGGAAGTGGCCGATCTTGCGGTTGGACAGGGCCCGGTCTAGCAGGAATTTGGTGAGTTCGCAGTCTAGGTAGGACTCATACTTGAGCACCTGTACCAGCTGCAGCAGGTAGTGGGAAAGCTCGTCATCCCTGCAGGGGAGGAAGGTCGGAGGTCTTGTAGCCGGAGGGCAAAGCCGGCCTGGACGGGAGCAAGGCCAGGTCCACCCCCACGCAGCACCCACGTCCAGCCGGCACTCACGTGAGTTTCCGGAGGGACTTGATGGCAAAGGAGCCCACGTGGCAGTCGGGGAAGCTGAAGTCCAGCAGCTCCAGGGCGCTCAGGACGGGCAGCTCGGGCCAAGAACACAGCAGGTACAGCATCTGGGGGGTGCAGGTGCTTGTGGTCAGGTGGTGGCCGGGTGGACACTGCCTGTCCATCCCCAGCTCTTCCCTCAGGCACGCCTGTCTGCCCACCTGGGCCACGTCTTCATGTTTGTTCCACTTGGTGACCAGCAGCAGGCGGGCCAGCGCCTCCGGGAAGCGCTCCAGGACTTCGTGCCTCAGTTTCCACACCAGGTCTTTCTCATGCTCGTACAGCTCCCCGGACCCCCGGCGCTCCAGGATTTCCCGCAGCTGCAGCTGCTGAAAGAGCAAAGGCCATGAGGGGTCCAGCTGCCCCATCGCCGCCCCCTGCCAGGACTCGCACTCACCTCCTCCTCGGTGGCACGCATCCGCTCCCCAGGACGTCCCAGCTCCAGGATCTGCAACAAACCAGGCAGCTCTCAGCTCCTGGGCCCCAGCACTGGGCACCTGCACCCTGGCGCTGGGGCCCACCGTTCTGCCTTGGATAGCAGCCCTCGCCTCTATCTCGGACGTGGCAGAAGCCATGGAGAGGCCATGAACCGTGACAACCCACGTGTCACTGGGCGCGACTCAGTGTTCCCCGGATGGGCAGCGGCCACACATCCCGGCGTGGCTGGAGTCCGCTCCCCGCCAGCCTCTCACCTTCTCCAGGGCAGGGTAGTGCACAGGGTGGGGCGACACCTCGGGCAAGCAGATGAGCAGCGTGGCCGCGCTCTCGGTGTTGGGGTTGCTGCGCACGGTGCCCACGGGGTTGAGCAGCTCTCCTTTCTCATCTGAGCGTGCGGACACATGGACTTGTACCGGGCAGCGCTAGGCTCTCCCCGGCCCGCCCGCCCTCGAGCCTCCCGCCGGCCTGGCTCAGGGCCCACCTGGGACAGACGGCCACATGTAGAGACAGTGCTCGCCCGTCTTCAGCTGGTTCTTGTAGTCAAACAGCATGAGGTTGGCCCAGGCAATGGGGCAGTCCTGAAGGACACCCAGAGGTCAGGTTGGCCGTGTGAGCCAACTCAGCTCAGCCGGGGGGAGCAGCCCCGAGGCCAAACAGCAGAGAAGACCCCATCCTCTGGGGTCCCTACTGAGCCCCCAGGGAGAGGGACAACCCACTGACTCCCCTCCCTCCCTCCCTCCCCCCTTCCCTTCTGTCCTTTTCCTCCCTCCTTCCTTCCTTTTTTATACCAGTACTAAGGTTTGAACTCAAGGCCTAGGCACTGTCCCTCATTTTTTTATTCTTTCATGCAAGGCTGGCACCCTAGCATTTGAATCACACCTCCACTTCTGAGTTTTTGCTGATTAATTAAAGCTAAGAGTCTCACTGCCTTTCCTGTCCAGGCTGGCTTGGAACTGGGAGCCCCATATATACTATTTTAAAAAATATTTTTTGTGGGTCGTCGGGCTTGAACTCTGGGCCTGGGTGCTGTCCTTCAGCTCTTCAGCTCAAGACTGGCACTCTACCACTTGAACCACAGTGCCACCTGCGGTTTTCTGGTGGTTAATTTTCACAGACTTTCCTTCATGGGCTGGCTTTGAACCATGATCTTTAAGTCTCAGCCTCCTGAAAGGATTATAGGCATGAGCCACCAGGCCCAGCTTGAGATCCTCATGTTAGCCTGCTGAGTAGCTGGGATTAGTATAGTTCTGGCTTTGATTCCTCTTTCTTGTTGTGGTCCCAATGACGAAGCCAGCAAGGCCCCTTCAGCAATTGCCTGCTTTCCTGCTCCTGGCTGCGAGAGACGGTCCTGAACCAGCTCCCCCAGCCGCTGTGCTGGCGCAGCTCACTCGGCATGAGTCACAAGGGCCAAGGGGCCAGGCAGGCTCTGGGCCTGATGACTCAAGATTCAGCCACAGCCCAGCGGCAGGGGCTCACGCCTGTCATTCTAGCTACTCAGGAGGCTGAGATCTGAGGATCGCGGTGTAAAGCCAGCCCAGGCAGGAAAGTCCCTGAGACTCTTATCTCCAATAAACCACCAGAAAACTGGAAGTGCTGTGGCTCAAGTGGTAGAATAGTAGTCTTGAGCTGAAGAGCTGAGGGACAGCGCCCAGGCCCAGAGTTCAAGCCTCATGACCGACCAAAAAAACCATTCAGCCACAGTCTCCATAGATGGCTACTCGCTGAGGCCCAGCTGCCCCTTGAAGACACCCGGAAGCTGTTCTGGGACACCACAGGCCCCGCCCTGGGTCAGCCTGCTCAGGACTTACTGTTCAAGCAGAGCAAGACAGCAGGTTGCAGATAGGCGGGGGGGGGGGGGGGGGGGGGGGGGGGGGCGGTGGAGGCTGTCCTGGCGGAAGCCCTGTCCTGGGGCCGCCGGTGTGAGGCGTAGCCCCTTCCCGGCCAGCCCTACCTACCGCCTTCTTGGACTTCTTCTTGGTGGAGCGAGCCTTCTTGGTCTTCTCCACCACGGCGTAGAGCGCGAAGCAGAGGCGGGCCATGCGGGGCAGGTCACACACGCTGATGTCAAACTCCAGCCGCTGCTGCCACACGGGCTCCGAGCACACGCTCACCTCCGAGCTCGACACCGTTTTGCACAACATCTCGTTGCCGTGGAAGAGCCCCGCCTGAACCACCAGCTGGGGGGGGGGACGAGGCAATGGGGCCGAGGCCCTGGGCCTCTCTTCTCAGGTCCCACCCACGAGTGAATCCCTTCCTCAAATAGCCTCATACTATTGGGGGGGGGGGGATGGACGGGTTTGAATTCAGAGCCTTGCACTTGTTAGGCAGGTGCTCTACCACTTGAGCCATGCCTCTCGCCCTTCAAATGTTCTTGTTCTCACAGGGGTCTGGATCCCAAATTCCTACATGGAAGAAGAAGGTCCAGCAAAGCCCATGGGCTGTGGACGAGAGCTGGCCAGGTGTCAAAGCGGGGAGCCACTGTAGTGGAATGCGGGTAACCCCATCTCAGACCTGCGATCGCGTTCCTCATTAAGGTTGGGTGACTGTAGGCGCCCTTCTGGCTCAAACACCCTCCAGCTCCCTCTTCTTGGGGTCTCCCCGCACCCAGCATGGGTAAGGAGGGCTTTCGCTGCGCTGCCCAGCCGCAGCAGCGCCTCCTCCACCCGACCCATGTCTCCCACCAGCCCTGGCCAGCCCTGGCCAGCTTGTAACATCATCCCAACCCGAAGAGACCAGGCTGGGCCCAGATGGCCCAGGTTGAGATCTGAGGATTGTAGTTTGGAGCCAGTCTGGGCAGGAAAGTCTGTGAGACTCTTCTCTCCATTCAACTACTGAATGTAGAGCTGTGGCTTAAGTGGTAGAACACTGGCCTCAATCAAAAGAAGCTCCGAGACAGCACCTAGACCCTGAGTGCAGGTCTAAGAACGTGACCAGGCAAGAGCCTGACTGTCTGTGGACCCAGACAGCACATCTATACAGCAAGACAGTAAGTCTATACAAGTAGCAGCCAGGTGTTAGTGGCTCACATTTGTAATCCTAGGCTACTCAGGAGGCTGAGATCTGAGGATCAAGGTTCAAAGCCAGCCTAGGCAGAAAAGTCCCTGAGACTTTTTTTTTTGGCTGGTCATGAGGCCTGAACTCTGGGCCTGGGTGCTGTCCCTCAGCTCTTCAGCTCAAGGCTAGCGCTCTACCACTTGAGCCACAGCACCACTTCTGGCTTTTTTTTCTTTTTGCTTATGTGGTGCTGAGGAATGGAACCCAGGGTCTCATGCATGCGAGGCAAGCGCTCTACCACTGAGCCACCTTCCCAGCCCCCCTGACACTCTTATCTCCCTTTGGAGAACCACCAAAAAGCCAGAAATGGAGCTGTGGCTCAAAGTGGTAAGAACCAGCCTTGAGTGCAAAAGCTCAGAGACAGCACCCAGGACCTGAGTATAAGCCCCAAAACTGGTGCGTGTACACACACACACACACACACACACACACACACACACACCTGCCAGGTAGTTGTGCCCTGGGGTATATGGAAGTACCACAGTGTCATAAGCTGCCAGATTGTCCTCACAACCCAGAGGGGGCTCTGCCCCCCCCCCGGGGACAGGCCATGCATCCCCTCCAGCTGCAAGCATTTTTGGGGGTCTGCTGAGAACACCCTGGCCTGGCTGGAGCATCCCCTCCTCGTGTCTCATACCTCCTTCACCCCCACAACCTCCACCAAAGTCAAATACCCAGAAATCGACTCATCCTGGTTTCCACGAATCAGCCTGGGCAGGCCGGGCCGCTCCCCTCCCCTCTTCCTGTTTTGCAGCGGCTCACAGCCGCTGCCCGCGGGGGGCGCTGGGTAATGTGGTCAGGTGGCTTTCGTGGGACACCTTCTCCCTCTGGCTCCCCTGCCTGCCCCTCCAGCCTACAAACACATTGTTTATGCAGAAAAGCACGGGCCCGCCCGGCCCCAGCTCCTACCTACCTTCATCCTCTCGTCCGCATTCACTTTGCTGCCCTGGACCAGCTCCACGCAGAACGCCTGCTCCAGAGACCACAGCGACACCGAGGAAGGCTGGGGGCGGGGGCAGGGCTTGTGACGTGACCCCAACACACGTCCCCAGCAGCGTCCTCCTCCAGATAACCTGCCCTGCACGTGCCCAGGGCCCCCTACGCCCCAGATCTGCGGAGAACGTCCAGTGCCGAGCTGCAGACAGGGCCTGGCACCAGCGCGTTTGCGAACATGGCCACCCTTCCCAAAGCGCCGCGTCTCTACACGGACTGACCAAGGGCCCCTGGACTTGGGGCCGTCCTGGAGTGCTGCCCAGTAGGCAGCGAGACCCCAGGAGGGGAGGGCCGGGGAGGGGAACACCTGTCTCACCTTCTTCGCGGGAATGGGGGGCGGCTTGGTGCGTGGTTTCTGAACCTGGGGGGTGGGGTTGCTTTGCTCATCCCGCATGGCGAGGATGGTGGAGGAGTGGACCATGGTCAGGTGGGGGGTCCGTCCACTGTGCAGGCAGCTGCAGATGTACTGGAGGGGTGCAGGGTGAGCTGCCCATGCGGCGGGGCTTCCTAGCCCGGGCCTTGCGAGGAGCCCCGACCTCTCCTACCCGCACACCCAGCAAGAGGACTGTGTGTGTGTGTGTGTGTGTGTGTGTGTGTGTGTGCGTGCGCTGGTCCTAAGGCTTGAACTCAGGGCCTAGGCACTGTCCCTGAGCTTTGTTTGGCTCAAGGCAGGTGCTCTACCACTTGAGCCACAGCGCCACTTCTGGCTTTTTGATGTTTAATTAGAGATAACAGTCTTACAGGTTTTCCTGCCTGAGCTGGTAGTGAGCAACGATCTTCCTCTCAGCCCCCCGAGTAGCTCGGATTGTAGACACGAGCCACCACTGGTGCCTGACTCTCTCTTCACAGTGATCCCCAAGACCTGGCTGGTCAGACTCAAGAGAGCCCCAAAAGACAGCTCTACCCCCCACCCCCTCCTCGCTGTGTCCAGGGTGGAGGATGGAGGATGGAGGATGGAGGATGGAGGAGGGCCAGGCCCCGCCTCACCTGGAACTGGCAGAGGGCGTAGCTGCCGTAGAGGTACTCGTGCTTCCCGTTCACCCGCAGCGCGTAGTCCTCGGGCCGCTCCGCCAGGCGCTGTCGGAACACCGTGGCCTTCTTCCGGAGCGCACAGGCCATCAGCGTCACCGGCTTGTCTTTGCTGGACACCTGGAAGGTGAAGCTTTCCTGGGGGGAGAGGGAGGGTCAGTCCTGTGCCCCGCAGGCCTCCTCAGCACCTGGGGCGCAGCCCACCCTGAACCCCAGCTGCATGGGGGAAGCACCAGCTGGCGCCGGAGACTCATAGCCCACACCTCAATGCTGGTCCTGTGACCTCATGGACCATTGCGCCCAGCTGCCTTGTCAAACTCGCCCTGTGGGACATTTGGCTATGCCCACTGCAGGCCTGGGGAGGGCAGATGCCATCTGATGCTCCTGACAAGAAGGCAGGTTTGGGCTGGGGAGGTGGCTTAGTGGTAGAGCGCTTGCCTAGCATGCATGAAGCTGTAGGTTCGATTCCTCAGTACCACATGCACAGAAAAAAAGCCAGAGGTGGCACTGTGGCTTAAGTGGTAGAGCGCTAGCCTTCAGCAAAAGAAGCTCAGAGACAGTGCCCAGGTCTTGAGTTCAAGCCCCAAGATGGGCAAAAAAAAAAATGTGTATTTGCTGGGCACCAATGACTCATGCTTGTAGTCCTAGCTACTCAGGAGGCTGAGGTATGAAGATCATGGTTCAAAGCCAGCCTGGGCAAAAAAAAGTCCATGAGACTCTCGTTTGGTTGGTTTTAGTCGGTTGTGGGGCCTGAACTCTGGGCCTGGGTGCTGTCCCTCAGCTCTTCAGCTCAAGGCAAGCACTCTACCACTTGAGCACTCTTAAGCACTCTACCACAGCACCACTTCCAGCTTTTCCTGTGTGTGTGGTGGTGAGGAATTGAATGCAGGGCCTCATGAATGCAAGGCAAGCACTCTACCACTGAGCCACCTTCCCAGCCCCTCCATGAGACTCTTCTCTCCAATAAGTAGCACTGGAATTGGCTGTGGCTCAAGAGGCGGAGTGCTAGGCTTGAGCAAAAGAAGCTAATGGGCAGGGTCTAGGGCACAGCAGCCGGGACACCGGAGCCCAGGCTCACCTCACTGCCCTCGAACTTGACATTAACCAGCAGGGTCCGGTTGGGGGTCCTTGGGGATCCAGCCCCCCAGCTCCTGGACGAGGGCTCCAGCTGCAGGGGGAAGCTGTACTGCAGCCAGGCCTCCCAGCCCAGCTGCTGGCGGTGCACCGCCGCCTCCTCGCAGAACTGGCGCATCTTCACCCGGAAGTCGTTCACCTCTGGGTCCCGCAGGGAGTCAAACTCGTGGAGGCCTGCAGGATGAGGCCGAGGGGTGAGCCCAGAGGCCGGGGGTGGGGGGGGGTCCGCACAGTGGGGCGAGCTGCGGGGTACCTTTGCCGATGAGCAGGCTGATCTGCGAGTTGATGAGCTTCTTCACACGGTCGCCCTCCCGCGCCACCAGGCGCAGCACCGGCAGAAAGGGCTGCACGTCGCACAGCCGCCGCTGCTCGTCCTCCAGCTCCTGCTGCTCGGCCGTCTGGTTGACGCAGGTGAACACGTAGGCCTCGGGGTCGCTGAGCATGTGGAAGAACGGCTCATACTGGGCGTGGTGCCACAGCACCTGGCGGGGACAGGCCGGGTCAGTGCCGCCGGCCCCTGCGCCCGGGCACAGGGGGCGCGCCAGGCCCCGAGCGCGCAGCTCGCGGTCAGCAGGCTTCCTGCCCGGCCCTGCATGTGCTGAGATCCGAACCTGCGTCCTACACACAGCAGGGGCACGGATGCCAGGTGTCCCCCCAACAGATTCTCAGGGTGCATCTATCTTTTGTGCCAGTCCTGGGACTTGAACTCAGGGCCTGGGTGCTGTCCTTGCTTTTCTTTTCTTTTCGTTTCTTTTTCTTTCTTTCTTTTCTTTCTTTCTTTCTTTCCTTTCTTTCCTTTCTTTCTTTCCTTCCTTTCTTTCGTTCTTTCTTTCTTTCTTTCTTTCTTTCTTTTTTTCTCAAATCTAGTACTTTACTACCTGAGCTACAACTCCACTTTGGGTTTTCTGGTGATTAATTGGAGATGAGAGTCTCCCAGACTTTTAAGAGTCTCATGGCCGGGCTGGGAATGTGGCTCAGTGGTCGAGTGCTTGCCTAGCATGCTTGAAGCCCTAAGTTCGATTCCTCAGTACCATATACACAGAAAAAGCCAGAAGGGGAGCTGTGGCTCAAGTGGTAGAGTGCTAGCCCTGAGAAGAGCAGCTCAGGGACAGTGCCCAGACTCTGAGTTCAAGTCCCAGGACTGGCAAAAGAAAAAAAAAAGTCTATGGACTTTGCCACCTCAGCTGGCTTTGAACCTCAATCCTCAGGTCTCAGCCTCCTGAGTAGCTAGGATGACAGGCGTGAGCTGCTGGAGCCTGGCTCATGGTGACATTTCTAAAGCAAAGGACTGCACGGCTCATCAGTGGCCATGGAAGGGCTGCGCACTGGTGGGTGAGACCCACCGTCTCTACTACCATCTTGTCCAGTAGCCAGTAAGGTAGCCATCCAGTGGGAGGGAACGCACACTGTTCAAGTGGAAGCTGAAGCCAGGCGCCGCTGGCTTCCACCTGACATCCTAGCTACTCAGGAGGCTGAGATCTGAGGATCTCAGTTCAAAGCCAGCCTAGGCAGGAAAGTCTGTGAGACTCTTATCTACCGTAAACCACCAGAAAACCAGAAGTGGCACTGTGGCTCAAGTGGTAGAGCACTTGCCTTGAGCCAAAGAGCGCAGGGACAGCGCCCAGGCCCAAAGTTCAAGCCCCCCAACTGACCAAAAAAAAAAAAAAAATAGTGGAAGCTGAATTCAGAAGAACATGTGGAGCTTAACCAAGTCGAAAAATGATTCTTCTTGGGTACTTTACAGCTTCTAAAATTCGCATCGAAGCCAGGCTCCAGTGGCTCACGCCTGTCATCCTAGCTACTCAGGAAGCTGAGATCTGAGGATCACAGTCTGAAGTCAGGCCAAGCAGAAAAGTCCATGAGCCTCATCTCCAATTAACCACCGAAATGCCAGAAGTAGAGCTGTGGCTCCAGTGGCAAGAGTTCTAGCTAACTTTGAGTGAAAAAGCTAAGGGACAGATCTTAGGCCCTGAGTTCAAGCCCCAGAACCAGCACCTACACACACACAAATTCCCATGTAAGAACTCGCAGGTCTGAGAAATGATGTCTGTCTGTCTTTTCTCTGAGCTCCAGACTTGGGTAGAGGCCATACCTGCTTGATGGTGCTGAGGTTGGCATTGCGGGACACTGGGAAGTTCAGGTAGACCCCGGTGGGCAGCAGGAAGTCCACCACCACGCTCTGATTCTCCTCCTTGGTCCAGAATTCCATGGGGCAGTCCACCCCAGGAGACATCCTGCTCTGTCACTCCTCACAGGCCGGCTGTCCTGAAGAAGGGGGGAGGCACGGGGCGGGGGAGGGGGACAGTGAGCTGGAATCTATGTCTCTGCATCCGGGCCTCCTCCTGCCCAGGTAGCTTGTGGCTCCTAGCACACCCAGCTACTGTGTGGTTCCGACTGCCTCTCACCAGAGGCAGAGACGCCCTAGGAACAGATGGGCACACGGGAGAGAACACAGCCCAGCCACCAGCAGGAGCAGACCAGAGAAGGCAAAGAGGCCGTGCGGCCAACGCTGCAGAGCGTGCAAGGTTTCTAATCAGGAATCCATGGGTTTGACAATGGCTTTGACCAGGTAACAATTGGGTGAATATCTGACTCATTCCCACTTCCTATCAGCCTCCTGACCCCACAGTAAGCCACAGAAACACTACCGAAGTGACTCAAGAGTGTGGCACCCATCCTCCAGCCACACGCCCCCCACCTCCCACTTCCCCTTCTTGTCACCATCTGGAATCTGCTTGTTTATAGTCCTATGCATGTTTTCTTTCTTTTGTCAGTTGTAGGGCTTGAACTCTAGGCCTGGGCGCTGTCCCTCAGCTCTTCAGCTCAAGGCAAGTGCTCTACCACTTGAGCCACAGCGCCACTTCTGGTTTTCTGGTGGTTTGTGGAAGATAAGAGTCTCATGGGCTTTCCTGCCTGGGCTGGCTTTGAACCAAGATCCTCAGATCTCAGCCTCCTGAGTAGGATTACAGGGGTGAGCCACTGGCGCCCAGCATCTATGCATGTTTTCTATACTTTCATTATGCTAATTATTTACACATGAACAATTTGTAATTTTTTTTTTCATGCCACTACTAAGGCTTGAACTCAGGGCCGGACACTGTCCCTTAGCTTTTCTGCTCAATGCTGGTGCTCTACACCAGAGCCACACCTCCACTCCCACATTTTTGGTGGTTTAATTGGAGATGAAAGTCTCATGGGGGCTGGGAATGTGGCTCAGTGGTAGAGTGCTTGCCTTGTATGCATGAGGCCCTGGGTTCGATTCCTCAGCACCACATAAGCAGAAAAAGCTGGAAGTGGTGCTGTGGCTCAAGTGGTAGAGCGCTAGCCTTGAGCTGAATCGCTGAGGGACAGCGCACAGGCCCAGAGTTCAAGCCCCATGACCTATAGAAAGAAAGAAAGACAGACAGAAAGAAAGAAAGTCTCCTGAGCTTTCCTGACCTATCGGAGGGGGAGGATGGCAAACTTGGGCCTGCCATCCTAGCTTCCTGGGAGGTCAACAAAGAAACCAGTCTGGGCAAAAATCTCAAGATAACCACATTTCAACCAGCATAAAAGAAAATCTGGGCATGCTGGTGTGTGCCTGCCATCCCAGCCAGCTGGGAAGCTGGGAGGTGTTAAGTAGGAGGATCACAATCCAGACTAGAGGCATGATTTAACTGGTAAAGCTCCAGTTATGCCAGCACAATCCCCAGTATTACCAAAACCAAACAAAAGCAAAACAGAGGGGAAAGCAGCAGGCAAAGTGAAATGTTAATATCTTTTGCTAACTCAATATGCCCAAAAGATGGTCATTCTCATGTGCAATGAATGGGAAAATTAGTAATGAGATACTTTATTTACTCCTTTTGATATTGATTGTGAATTCGGGTGTGGACTACATTGCATTTTCGTTGGTAGCTTTTCAGTTTGATTTAGAAGCATAGGTAATAAGCAGGTTCTCAGACTCTGGCTGTTTCAACACTCTTCTTGTAATCATGTATCAATTTTGAAGTTTAAAATAATAATAAATTTAATTTCCTTTTGCAGTACTAGTGTTTGAACTCAGGGCCTGTGCTCGTCTGGCTATAGCTCTACCAGCTAAGCCATACCTCTTACCTGGCTTTTTGCTGATTATTTGAGAGATGGAATGTAAAGAACTTTTCTGCCTGGGCTGGCCTCCAACCAGGATCCTCCAGGCCTCAGCCTCCTGAATAGCTAAAATTATAGGTATGAGCTACCAACACCCAACTAAATTAATGTAAATTAAATATTGTTTTAATATTCCATTCCTTAAAATAAATTCCTCAATCACAGTACCCATGTTTTGTTTTTTTTTAATCACATGGGTATAATCGGACTGGTACAACTACGTCATCTGCTTTACTAACTAGCATTAAATTGTTCTTCACACGGTGGAGGCCCCTAGCGATCACACCCTGCTAACCAGGCTCCATCTCTGCCTTCCTCAGCCAGCGACACGCTCACGCTTACTCATTTGTTTCCAATTTGGCTGATATTTTCATTTGCATTCCCGTGAGTATCTGCCAAACAGTAAGCCTCGGCAAATAGCCCATTTGTGGCCTTGGCCCATTTTCTGATGAGGTATTTATCTTTCTCTTCTACACCCCATCCCTCCGTGGATTAAAATCTGGGAATGCCCTCTCCTTGTCTGCCTCATCTTTTCACTTTTTTTTTTTTTGGGTCCGGTCGTGGGGCTTGATCTCTGGGCCTGGGCACTGTCCCTCAGCAATTCAAGGCTAGCGCTCTACCACTTGAGCCACAGTGCCACTTCCGGCTTTTTTCTTTTTGTTTATGTGGTGCTGAGGAATCGAACCCAGGGCTTCAGGCATGTAAGGCAAGCACTCTACCACTGAGCCACCTTCCCAGCCCATCTTTTCACTCTTGTTTATGGGTTTTTTCTGGTAAACTAAAGTTTTTTTAATGTTGATGCAGTCAACAAACTTGTCCCTTTCATTTCCTTCCCCTTCCCCTTCCCCTTCCCCTTCCCTCTCTTCTTCCCTTCCTCCTTCCTTCCTTCCCTCCCTCCCTTCCTTCTTTGTGGTCCTGGGGTTCAAACTCAGGGCCTCACACTTGCGAAGCAGCACTCTATTACTGCTGAGGTACACCCCCAGCCCCATTTTTTCTGGTTATTTTAAAGATAGGGTCTTGCTTCCTGTCCAGCACATGCCTGGACTGTGGTCTCCTCCGCTAGGCGTCCTGTCACTGCTGGGATAGAAGGCATACCCCACTGCATCCATGCTCCCTCCACAGAGACAGTCTCTCAAACTTTGCTACCTGGGAAAACCTGGGACGATGCACCTCCCCATCTGAGTCTCACATGTAGCTTACTATAACAAGTGAGTACCATTGTGCCCAGCTGTAAGAAAGGCTCTTGTGAACTCTACTGCCTGAGCTGGCCTCAAACTGCTACCCTCCTATTCTCAGCCTCCCAAGTAGCTAGGATTACAGGCATGAGCCACTGTGCTTGGCCACAGTCTTTTTTTTTTTTTTTTTAAGTGCCAGTACTAGGGCCTGAACTCAGGAACTCTTGCTCTCCCTTGGCTTTTCTGCCCAAGGCTGGAGCTTATCACTAGAGCCAGTTCTACTTCTGGCTTTTTGGTGGTTACTTGGAGATAAAAGTCTCACACACTTCCTGCCCAGGCTGGCTTCTAACTTTGATCCTCAGATCTACAGCCTCCTGAGTAGCTAGGATTTATAGGCTTGAGCCCAAGCACCTGGCTCTTTTTTTTTTTTTTTAAGGTATGTCCCATGTAGTTTTTGCTGGCCTTGATTTGGTAACCTCCTACCTCTGTCTCCCAAGTACTGGGATTACAGGCATGCATCACTACAACTGGCTTTTTCTTTCATTTTCATGCTTTGCTAGCCATGCGGAACACATACCCGGGCTGGGGTGTCAGTGGCAGAGCACGTTTTCCAGGCATGAGCAACATGCGTGCTATACCCCTCGCACAAATAAAAATAAAAGCCTTTGTACTTAATGGAAGGTCGCATTCTGCTGAGCCCAAGTGACTTGTCATAGTCGCAAGAATGCACTTCCACTGAGAAGTGTCCTCTGGGTGCCCTGGCAACAGGCCGGGCCCGCCCTCGCCGGCTGCTGCTCTGAACAGCAGAATCTGAGCTTCACCGTGCACCTCTGGGTATCACCGAGCCTCACCATGCACCACCGAGCCTCACCGTGCACCACCGAGCCTCACTGTGCACCACCGAGCCTCACCGTACACCACCGAGCCTCACTGTGCACCACCGAGCCTCACTGTGCATTACTGTGCATCACCGAGCCTCACCGTCCAACTCTGGGTATCACTGAGCCTCACCGTGCACCACCGAGCCTCACCGTGCACCACCGAGCCTCACCGTATACCACCGAGCCTCACTGTGCAGCACCGAGCCCCACCGTGCACCACCGAGCCTCACCGTATACCACCGAGCCTCACTGTGCACCACCGAGCCTCACCGTCCAACTCTGGGTATCATCGAGCCTCACCGTGCACCACCGAGCCTCACTGTATACCACTGAGCCTCATTGTGCATTACTGCACATCACCGAGCCTCACCGTACACCACCGAGCCTCACCATACACCACCAAGCCTCACCGTGCATCACCGAGCCTCACTGTGCACCACCAAGCCTCACCGTACACCACCGAGCCTCACTGTGTACCTCTGAGCATCACCGAGCCTCACTGTGCATCACTGAGCCTCGCTGTGCACCTCTGGGTATCACCATGCATCACTGAGCCTTATCATGTAGCTCTGGCCATCACCGTGCACCTCTGGACATCACCATGCACCTCTGGGTATCACAAGCCTCACTGTGCATCACCGAGCCTCACTGTGCATTACTGCACATCACCGAGCCATCACCGTGCACCTCTGGGCATCACTATGCACCTCTGGGTATCACCAAGCCTCACTGTGCATCACCGAGCCTCACTGTGCATTACTGCACATCACCGAGCCTCACTGTGCACCTCTGGGCATCACTATGTACCTCTGGCCATCACCGTGCACCTCTGGGCATCACTGAGCCACACTGTGTACACTGGCCTCACCGTGCATCACTGTGCATCACTGAGCTTCACCGTGTACCTCTGGGCATCACCGAGCCTCACCAGACACCTCTGGGCATCACCAGGCATCACCAGGCATCATTGAGCCTTATCATGTACCTCTGGCCATCACCGTGGATCACTGTGCCTCACTGAGCTTCACCGTGCACCTGTAGGCATCATTGTGTACCTCTGGGCACCACCGTGCACCTCTGG